TTCACCCAACCAGTACCTCCAGAAATGTAACACATGCACTCTAATCGGGACGACATGGTGGCACAGTGGTTAGCACTGCTGCCTCACAGTGCCAGGGACCCGGGTTCAATTCCACTCTCGGGCGACTGTCTGTGTGGAGTTTGCACATTCTCCCAGTGTCTGCGTGGGTTTCCTCCCACAGTCCAAAGATGTGCAAGCTAGGCTGATTGGCCATGCTAAATTGCCCATAGTGTTCAGGGATGTGTGGATTAGGTGGGTTATAGGAGGATGGGTTTGGGTGGGATGCTCTGAGGGTCGGTGTAGACTTGTTGGGCCGAATGACCTGTTTCCACACTGTAGGAATTCTATGATTCAACTTGCAGATTATAGGTCGACATAAGTAAATTTGTCCAAATACTAAATCATGAAAGATAAATGAGTCACTTGAGAGTCTTGGCATGGGGTTTTGGTCTGGCTACGGGGTTTGCAGGTTTTTGGTTCTCAACTGAAAATATATTTCAATGTGTATTCCTGAATGTATCTTTACCTCTGGAGACATTGCTGTGGAAAGTCAGCAGCTTTTCTTGTGGTACCTTTTGTCTGCTTGGAGAGAGGTACACACATTTCAGAACCCACCAGACAGTACTCAAGACCTGGCTGTCTGAGTGAAGGGAATGAGACAGAGAAATGGACAGCTGTCTTTTTGTCACTCCTCTTGATACATTGCCTCAGCTTGGTTGGTCTCATGATCACTCTCAAAGTTCTAAAATCTATCGTTTATTCCAAGATGTAGTTTTGGTTTAGCACACCTGCTGTCATTTTAGCTTTTTTTCATGTCCACAGGTGAAGAATCTCCTGTGATATACTTTGAATCTCTGTATCTGATAAGATAGGAAGAAAGCTGTTCATACCTCTCCAGTAGTTTATCATAGAATCCCTACCGTGTGGAAACAGGCCCTTTGGCCCAACAAGTCCACATCGACCATTGGAGCATACCACCCAGACCCATCCCCCTATAACACATCTAATCTACACATCCCTGAACACTACGGGCAACTTAGCATGGCCAATCCACCTAGTCTGCACATCTTGTGGGAGGAAACCCACACAGACACGGGGAGAATGCGCAAACACAGACAGTCGCCCAAGGGTGGAATCGAACCCGGGTCCCTGGCACTGTGAGGCTGCAGTGCTAACCACTGAGACACCGTGCCACCCCTATCCTAGCTGATGATTCTCAAAGGCCATGAGTATACATATAATGGAATGCAGCTGACACAGAAATCTGTATTTTAAAGTGAGTCAGTGTTCCTTTGTTTCAATGCAATATTCTCTTTCAGCTAGAACTGCCTTTTAGAAGTCTAAAATGACACCCTGGCTAATGAAATTAAGAATTCATATTCAATAGGGCACATCTCCATGATACAGGTCGATCTCTCCTGAGCCAGACTGTTCACACACTACTCCAGATACAGGCTTGTCAAGGCACTTTATAATTGCAGCAAGAATATCTGTATTCTTGCACGCAAATCCATCTGCAATAAAGGCCAACCACTTTTCTCTCTCAACAGATCTTGCCTGGTCTGAGTATTTCCAAAATTTCTTCTTTTTATTTCAGTTTTGTAATATCTACAATATTTTGCTTTGGTAAAGGCACCCACAACACAGGCTAACCGGACAAATAATTATATCAGAGTAATAGAACAGAATGCAGAATATAGTGTTACAGCTGCAGAGAAAGGATAACTCTAATAGCTAAGAGGTCCATTCATCAGTCTGATAACAGCTGTTCTTAAATCTGGTAGATTGTACCTTTTGCCTGATGGAAGGGGGTGGAAGAGAGTATAACCAGGGTGGGAGGAGTCTTTGATTATGTTGGTTGCTTTCCCAAGTCAGCAGGAAGTATAGACAGAAATCAATGGATGGAAGGCTCATTGTGATTGGGTTGGGTGGAGAGGGGTAATGTTCAGGTCTCTAGTAGAAAGCCTTACAGTAGCCACCATGTGCTTTGTCGCCGTTTTTCAAAGATTGGTGGCACAGTGTATACAGAGGATGAAGAAATGGTTACTGCTTCAAGGAAAGTGGACACTCCCCAATATATGCAGACCATAGTAGCAAAACACTGAATAGTGGCTGGTGCTTTTTGTGCTTTTGGTACAGTTCATGACCTGCCCATGACCAAGTGTAAGCAGTCAATGGCACCCTGCATCATGGAAAAGCTCAATATTGGGCCCAGCACACAGGCATGCTTCCTGCTCCTGTCTCTGGGAAAAGACAATGACAGCCTCTTGATTGGGTATTGTGCCTCTATGATTTTGCAGAGATGGAGGGTAAAAAGAAAGACATCTGCCATTTCTTCTCTTCCAGCATGCGGGGATCCACTGGCAGAAAATGTTCAAACTCCCAGATAATTTGATAGCCACTGTCAATGTCATTCCTGCCCAGTTCTACTGTCACTAGGGGCAGCATACAGATCAAAAATACCAGTGGCCCGAGGGCAGATATTTGGAATAAATATCATCCAACTGTGTGGAAATGGGAAGAGAAATCATTGATGGTGATTCTCTGGTTAGGATTAAATAGACAAACATGAAATCAGGTGAGTGCAGTCCCATCCAGCTGGCCAAGAGTGGAGAGGGCTCTGAGGTTGATGGTGGGATTGTCAGGGTCAGAAGTTGCAGAGAGGTTCAGAAGGATAAGAGATGGTCATCTATCTTTCTCACATTCACAAAGGTTGTCATTTGTGATTTTGATAAGAGCCATGTCAGTACTGTGACAGGGGTGGAGCCTGATTGGACGATTCTAACATGGAGTTCTGGGAAAGGCGTTCATAATTTATGAGACATTTGAAGACATTGGAGAGGACAGAGAGGTGAAGAGCAGATGGTAGTTTGCTAGGACGATAGGTAAAGACAGCAAGTTCCTTGAATACATGGACAGGACATAAGATTCTAAGGATGGGAGGAGGCTGGGAGTCAGTAGTTTAGAAGGAGTAGGGTCAAGAGATGGTCTCTTGCACAAGGTGAGACTGGAGATGGCATGATGAAGGTAGGAGAAAAACTAGAGTAGTTTACAACTTCACAGCTGTATGTGTAGGGCTGTGGAGAGGGGTGTGGGCTGGTGGAAGGTCTCCTATAGGAAGTATAGCCATGTTGCAAAGAAATCATGAGTTCCTCAATTGCTTGAAGATGAGGGTGGAGACAACAGAAGAGAAGTATTTCAGATTATAACCTCATATTCTAGGATTATCATGGAATCCAGCGATGAATATCCACAGCTCCTGGACTGAAGGAAACAAAACCAACCTGGGAAATAACCATTATCAGTACAGTGCAGACGAATGTTTGGGAGCTTTACTTTGGGGTCAACTATGATACCAGAGTCAATTTCAGGTTCTCATAATCACCTTGGAGAGCAATGAAATCTATGGTTAGGGACTAAATCTTCTAGCAAGGACCAAGCAAAATTGCTTTCATTCTTCCAACTCACAGGAGACAGGCATTGCTAGTATTTGTTGTTATAATTGCCCTTGCCCTAGTCATTTCAGCGGCAGTCAAGAGTTAACCACACTGCTGTGTACCTCGAGTCACATGTAGGCAAGGACGGCAGAGTTCCATCCTTAAAGGGCATTAATGAACCAGATGTGTTTATATAACTGAGATAGTAGGAACTGCAGATGCTGGAGAATCCGAGACAACAAGGTGCAGGGCTGGATGAACACAGCAGGCCAAGCAGCATCATAGGAGCAGAGTTTATATAACTGACAGTTGTCATGGTTACCATCACTGAGATTAGATTTATATTCCAAATTTATTAATTGAGTTCAAATTTCCCTAGCTGACAAAGTAGGATTTGAACCCATGTCCTCAGTACATAAGACTGAGCCTCTGGATTACTAGTCCAGTCCATTCCCGCTGCACCATTAAAGTGAGGGAAAGTATTGCACACCCAGTGCTGGATGTTGTGCACGCAGTCTGACACTTTGTGGACAGGGGAGGTTGAGAAATGTGGTGATGTGATAGAGCTGGGAACCAGCCGTGTACATGTGAAACCTGATGTTATATTGTGATGCACAATTATGCATCAAGTACATCTCCTTCCTGGCTCTTCTTTCTTAACCTGGGAACAATGAAACTTTGTTGGGAAGTCTCAATAAAAGCCTCATGCAATTTAGGGAAATAAACTTAAAATTTGAACAGCATTGAAGCATCCTCAGAAATTAAGCATATTTCTAGATTCTCAGACTACACAATCTAAATTCAAGTCACCGGTCTAGTTAAAAAATGTCAAGTTCTCATCAAACGCTTTTGAAAAAGATCAAACAAAATCCTTAATGAAGGCATTAAAAGATAGTTCAACGGGCAAGTGTAATTGCAACAACGTGACAATGGTTGAGGGTTTGTACTTGGTTTCTCTGCTTTTATGAATATTAAAAATTTCAGTTATTGAGGAAAAATGGCTTATTTCAGAACGCATTTGTTTGCTCATATGAGGTACTAAATAACGTATATTTAGTTGGTATGAAATTCATGTGCGTACTTTGTGAAGCTTTTGAATTGTTTCCTTGGAAGTTCTCAGGAGTGCAGTTGTAGATTCATTGGAATTAGATACAAGTAATAACAAACAAATGTACTTAGATTTCTTTCTATTTTAACTTTAAGTAATGCTATTATGTTTATTTGGATCACAGAAATCAGTCTTGGAGAATGGAATAAAAGAAACCCAAGTGAAATAATATCTGTAGCTAAATTGCTTTGAAAGTATTGTTTCACTGATTAATTGCACAGTTGCAGGAACTTAACTCTAAATTCCTTCTTTAAGAATTGCATGCACTAAACACCTAACACATTTTGTGCATGATGTGTAAGGATCCTCTTTCCCTGATTAAAATTTCTTCACTCTCATATCAATCACTGGTACCAAAGGTTCAGGAAGATATTACTTTTAGCCCCTTAGTTGAGAAATGAATTAAGGTCAAAGCAAAGAGGAATAAAATCAAGTAAAACCGTGAAAATGTATACCTTGAGTTTCCGAACAGCATCCTTCACAATTTCTGTACCCTTTGGTTGTTCAACTTCAGAATTGCCAAGAAACTGAAAGAGACAATTGTAATTTACAGAATAAATGTCTGCTCAACATTCAGCTTCAAAGCATCTGGCTACACTTCTGCTGAGTAAGCAATTCAAGGTCTATCTGTAATAACACAAGTAGCAAAACAAAACACAAAATAATTACTGCAGCATTCAGAATTGGGTGACTTGTTACAAAGAATTGAACTGTTTATAAATCATAATTCAAATAACAGAACAAAACAAAATGCTTCAGCACTTCCAAATTTCAGTTGGATCCTCTCTCCAATCAATTGCCCTGAAGCAAAGAGATTTTCCCCACTGAAAAGATTTGATGGAGCCCAAACCATAAATTACATTCAGTTCATGTGAATTCTCCTAGCCTTATAACCCCTAGCATACTGTTACATCGAAGCTAAAATGTGATCAACTTTATCTGAATGTTGCCTATACATTTATCTTTTCAAACAGTTACTTTTCAAAGACTCAGAATACACTGCTCCAAGCAGAAAGCAACATGTTTTGTTCATTTGTTGAAGGACTTACTAAATTAACACTCCTGGAATACAGTGTATTCACACTTTTTTTAATTAAATACTACATCTATGCTTGAAATAATGGCACAATATTCCTTCAGAAATCAGAAAACACCAGGTTATAGTACAACAGGTTTATTTGAAATCACAAGCTTTCAAAGCATAGCCCCTTCATCAGGTGAAGTGAAATAGCAGCACACAGACACAGAATTTATAGGCAGAGAGATCAAAAGATCATATAAATGGTGTGAATGGAGTGTCAAATAATAAATCTCTGGAGGTGATCAAAAGTGTCAGACAGTGTGAGTAAAGCGTCAACAGCTGAAAATCAAGCAAAGGGATGACCTATAAGCCGATTAAGTGAGGCAGAGAGATAATTACAACAAAATAAAAATAATGGAGACAAACCAAATGACTGGAATAACACGATAGATATAAGAGTCACATGCCAAGGGTCTAACCAAAGTAATAAGTAATCCAAACTGTACAAACTAATTAAGGTAGAGGAGATCATAACAATTTATTAAGTACTTTCTGGGAGTGGAGAGACTTCGCCATGTTCTTCGTATCCTTCAACACGTCATCGGTAACAACTAGCATTGCGCCAAGATCATCCCTACACCTCCACTTCTTACCTTCAAACAACCGCCAAACCTTAAACAGATCATCGTTTGCAGCAAATTACCCAGCCTTCAGGACAACATCAACCACAACACCACACAACCCTGCCATGGCAATCTCTGCAAGACATGTCAGATCATCGACATGGATACTACCATCACATGTGGGAACTCAACCCACCATGTGCATGGCAGATACTCATGTGACTCGGCCAATGTTGTCTATCTCGTACACTGCAGGTAAAGATGCCCCAAGGCATGGTATATTGGCGAGACCATGCAGACGCTATGACAATGGATGAACGGATACTGTGCACAATCGCCAGACAGGAGTGCTCCCTCCCAGTCGGGGAGCACTTCAGCAGTCGACGACATTCAGCCTCCGATCTTAGGGTAAGCGTCCTTCAAGGTGGCCTTCATGATGCACAACAACGCAGAATCGCTGAGCAGAAACAGATAGCCAAGTTCTGTACCCATGAAGATGGCCTCAACTGTGATCTTGGGTTCATGTTGCGCTAGATGTGACCCCCACCACACTGTTCTGTATCTGTAAAATCTTCCTTATTGTCCTGTTTTGACACCATCTCCTTGACAAATTGTTATGATCTCTCTACCTTAATTTGGTTGTACAGTTTTGGATTTCTTCTTACTTACAGTTATATTTAGAAAATATATTTTAAAAAATGGAAAAATATATAGAAAAAATACAGAAAAATAGTCTATTTTCTCTGTTTTAGTTTTTCAGCAATTTATTTCCTTTATTTATCCTCACTGACACTTACACTGTATTTTCTATTAGGATGTACATTTTTTTCTCTGTTAAGATGTAACAGTTTTTCAGGCATCAACACAACTCATTAAAATTGAAAAGCTTCTCTGGTTGCAGGGTCATAAACATGCCTTGCCTTATGTGCATGAATAATGGTTAATTATGCTGAAATTTTAGTTTTTGTACATAGAGAAGGAACAAGTAGCCTGAGCTCCATGCTTTCCTTGGACCATGGTTGTTTATCCTACTGCCAGTTTGCTTACTGACTTTTACAGTCAGGAATGCTAATGAGATTGGCTGTAAATTCAAACATAAATAGTCATCAGTAAAATGGCTACTTGGTTGAGTGCTATTTTGTGTGAAACCTCTTCAATAAACTTTTGCAGGAAATCCCAACCCACACTTTACCATGTCCTCCTCCTCCCCAGTCAGACAGCAATTCAAACTGGGGTACCATTTCACAAACATTAGGACCATTCTGGTTCCTTGTCCACGTGTCCATTCTTCACTTGAGCTTACAAAGTCAACCTTGAAAGTCTGTTTGAATTTTGAAAACTTTGTTGAGCCTATGGTGGACCTATGGGGTTACCGTTTAATGAGCAAAAGCAAAAATTATAATCCATCATTTTGCTCCAGCAGTTTGAAGTTGGGTCATTGGCTGGATGGCTGAATGAAATAGCTGTTTACTCCAAGTGGATTTTGGGCAGTGGTAGCCCTAGCAGGAGACCAGATTCACTTTAAAGGCCAGGTTTCATCAGCATAGCTATAGGTTTCAGTTATATTTTAACAATAATTTTGACCTGTTTCAAGTGAGGAATCTAATTAACTCTTTTATTAAACTTAATGATAGAACACCTTCTGTATGGAAGAACAATTCCATGTCAGATCAAAATTAAGGTCATAGATTTACGATTTTATAGCTGTTTTATGGTTAAACTTAGGCAACCAAATATAAACACAGTTTGGGCTAAAAAACTGTTACTCAAGGACACAGCTCTTATAGTGGTTTAGATTTTATAACTTAAAGTATGCAACAGGCCTATATATATTATTTTTGAGCTTTATGTATTTTGATATATCTTGCAGCTGTACCTTGTTAAATGTATTACAGAATGGAGTTGAGGAGTGATTTCTTGTCAATGTGAGTCCTATTTCTTTTGGAGAACAAAAGAAGCCAATACAGTAAAGATTGAAAGTAACTTCAATTAACTTGCTTCAGGCATCATCATAGTAGAGTCACACAAATGTAGCTCACAGATATCGATAAGCTTTGGAATTTTCCAGATTGCTCGGATGTGTTGGTTGGGATATTTGTGATGACGTTCATTTCTAGGATGTGTCACCACACAGTCTCAAATAGATGCACAATAGGTGCCTTATTATTTTGGTAGTGATCAATAAGTGTTAATAAGTCAAGAGGGATAATCTGTTATAAAAGGGATGATTGCACAAAATACTGACACTTCAAGATTCAAGTCAGAATATAGAAGGAAATAGTATCAGTAAGACAACCAGCAGTTTTCCAGAAACCAAATCAGGGTGCACACTGTTTAGTCAATCTACAGTTGATCATGTACTGTTCACACATTGACAAACTGATTGGAGTTCAGGATGCCTCAGGTCAGGCATGATGGAGGGGTAGAGGTGGTAATAGCTAGCAAGGGTTAATCAGCAGTGACACATAGTAATTCTGTCCACAGGAAGAACGAACAGATAGAGGGACAACTTCAATCAGTAAAAATAAACAGGAGACATATCCAGTCAAACAAAACTTCAGAGCTGGTATTCTTTTGAGAATCAACCCAATTTACTGTCTTAAATAGTGTAATTAATTTCATTTGTACTTGTTTTGTTAAACTTAATACATTATGTGAAAAATGTGAAAGCACACTTGTACTGCAATAGGTTTATAACTAATCAGGACCAATAGATGTTATGGATTGCCTCTCTCCCAAAATGAACTCAGTTTGAAATTGCAGTTGACTTGGTGTGACAAAGTTAACTGCAAATTTTGCATTGGGATGGCAGGTCACAATCAGAGATAGAGTTCCCCAGCCAGCCCAGTTGCGTACTAACTTGCTACCACTAACCCAATGCGCCAATATAGCATTAATTGAACAACCTCCATACTGTAGGAAGGTAGGTCCATGGGATAAGGTGTGTGTGTGGGGGGAAAGCTGTGATCACTATTGCTTGGATGAAACCTACAACAGTACACCTGCTTCTTACAGACTTCACAAAGCTATGGAAAATCTTTGACAGTTTTTCTTGGCAGGGCTACTATGTGACACTCTAATATGTGTGGGTTAGAAGGCTTAATATCAAAATAGGGATGAAGTTGCAAAGCACAGAGGGCTCATTATTACCAGCCCACCCCAGCACTTGGCAGCCCCTTTGGATGGGAGCGGGGAAGGGGCAACTCCAGCATGCAACTATCCCTGGAACAAAATAATGATCCCATTTTTCGGAACATGTTTTTTGAGCCAGTGCAGAAAGTCTGGAAATCTTCACATCAGCAATGAAAATTTGAGCCAAAATCTGTGGAAACATTATTGCATTCCTTTTAGAAAACAAAACTTAAAATAATTAATTTCATAGCAGATTAGACTAATTTCTTTACTTTGCAAGAAGTGAAACACAACAGGAACTTACTGAGCAGCCACATGACTCAGCCTGCCTGTGGTTTCAACTTTGATGTCTTTATCCCTCACTTCTTCAAGTTCTGACATGCCACAGACCACCTTCATCTCCTGACTTTCACCTTAGTAAAAAGAAAGGCCCTGAACCTCAGCATTAATATATCTTGGGCCTATGCTCCCAGTTTTATTCTGGTCCATTCTCTCCTCAATCTCCAATTAAGCTCATCTGCTTTGGAGTCAGTGGTTCTCCCTAATTATACTTGCACTCTGACCAGCAAGAGGATCTTTGGGAAACAACTACCTTTGTGCAGGGCAGAGGCCTCCTCAGGAGGAAAAAGAACCAGGAAAACTTGCAAGTAACACTGATTGATCTGACTCAACTTGTATACTTCAAAATGGAGCACCATTACATCCAGTATAGAGATAAC